TATACCAGGATCTCTTCACACACACTCAGACACCTCCACCTGTACATCCCTTCATCCAGTTCTTTATGGTTCTCCTGATGTACACAAAAAAGAGAAAAAAGTCAGATAATTCCAAAGAGAAAAACCTTAACTTCTGAGAGCAGCAAATCCCTATGTCCCCTCCATCATTCCTTTGCTTTACCTTTTCCATCCCTTAGGAACTAGGTAAGCAAGCACAGTGCTGAGTCTCATTCCCTCCCATCACCCATCGATTTGTTTCATCAATCCGTGATCATCTGACGACAAATATTTAACATCCTGCCATAATAGTGATCTGAATATTTTGAGAAAAGGGAATAGAGAATGTGTCTTTCCCCTCACAAAGCCAGAGTCGTATTTGGCCTCTGTCTGTGGTACATTTTGCAAAATGCATCTTTCCATATTCTTCACTGTAAAGCATTGTCTTCATGGGCTGCAAAGTTCAACTGACACTGTGAAATGGCACATTGGCACATTTAAATTTTTTTATTTATTTTAGACACCAAGAAAAATGTTTTAATGCCCAGAATCTGATCAGACCTCTGGATGAGGAATAACTGAATTCAAAACTGAAAGACAAGTGAAATGATAAAAATAATTTGGAAATACATGCTGATTTGAAGACACTACTGGATAAAGTTATGCATTACATTTCACCACACCGAGTGCTTATAATGTGACAACAACTGACCACTGATGACCATGATTTCATGACAGATACGAAAACCATGTGCATGAGGATGCTGCCAGCATGTGAGTGCTGATGGCTGAGCAAATTGTCACTGAGTGCAGCTGTGGGGTACTGAGCCTGCACTGAGATCCAGGACTGTTCTGTGATTAATGGTAGGGGACGCGCCCCACTAATTGTGGTTCCTGACACAGGCACACGTCTCTAGACAAAGCAGGACAGGGCTAGAGCAGGGTGCCATGCTCAATCACCTTCCAGCAGAAAGCCTGTGTGCAGCGCTGAGGGGTTCAGGGGAAAGAGAGGTCACAGGATATCTGGTGATGACAGTAAAGGAGAGCTCAGAAGACGCTGGAGTATCTAACCAACTGTGGGAAGAATAGGGAATGTTTAAAGTTTGGCCATACGGCTGGGATGGGGATTTACTTGTGACAAACAGAGAAGACAGAGTAACAGAAACTAGAGAAGTAGACCATCCTGACAAGGAAGCAGGAGATTTACCAGGCCTTACTGGATTATCCTCATTGGATTTGAATCTAAGGCCGCCTTTGGTGTGTGCAACTACATGCACCTGTTGCAGCACTATTGTATCATCACAACTCTATTCTTTAATTGTATGTGATATGTTTTGCAATTATCCAAATGTATACATAAAGAATTTATCACAACACAAATGAAAAGCTATTGCTTCCTCTCTGCTACACCAGGTCTATTAACATCTCACCTGTTCCACAACAGAGGAAAATATTTTACTTGACTGACGACTGGCTATAAATGCAAAATAAATGGCCCCAGCATGCAAATGCTTTGTGCTTCTTTTCCACCTGCCAGAATCTTTTGAGAGTGAGGACAGATGGAAGTCATGAATTGGCTCCGGCGAGGGACTCCAGACACTCAGCTCTCTCAAGAAATCCCTTAATAGGGTATGGAGGCAAACAGTTTTGATATTGTTTCTATCAGCACAGAGTGTATTACAGTAAGAGAGTTCTTAGTAAGACAAGCTTAGCTTCATTAACTTTAGACTGGTGATAGGAATTAGAGCCTGATCATTTTTTAATTCACATTTTATGTGTGCAAACAATAACCAAACTTTAAATTGATATTCATAAATCAAAAATTATTTATATTGAAGGGTTTGCACCATTTGTGTAGATGTATTTTTATGTGCGCATTAGTCAATGAACATTTATTAATTGTATCTTGGTCTCTCCACAGCTCTGTTGTCCTGGGTCCGAGTCATTCAGGCAGAATCCCTCTTGGTCCCTCTGTGGCCCCCCAGGCACCCCAGGCCCCTGTGAGCTTCCCACAAAAAAGTCCACAATGCTATTCAAACAATAAGCCAAGGGACAAAGAGCACATTTACACAAGTGAAGCTTTCTTTGAAAGCAAAAAGGCACTGTTTGGAAGATTTCCAAATGTCTCTTCCCCCAAAATTCAGAACCTCCCTCTACACCCCACCTCTCAATTCCCTATTTTAAGAGAACGTTCACAATTCCAGTGACGGAGACATGGGAGCCAAATATACTACACCAAGCCCAGTCCCACCCGCCAAGCCACAAGCACCCCCAATTTAGCCAAACCCCCTCTTTACAGGACAAAAGCCCTTTAGAGGATAAGTGTATGTGAGGGCTCTGGTGGATACCATAGTGGCTTAAAGACCGTGGAGGCCTCTAAGAGACACTTCTTTTAGTCCTACTCTCCCTCCATTTCTCTTTCCTTCTCTCTCTCTTTCACTTTCTCTCTGTCTCTCTCTCAGCCAGTGAAAGGTTCGGCAAGAGGTAGAAAGAGTTTGGAGAGAGAGGGGAGGGGGGATGTAAAGGGAGAGGAGGGGGCATAGAGGGTGCTCTTATGTCAACATTGTGGTATTTTCCCAAAGATGCATATCGCCTCTATACAAATAGGAGATGTATTTATAGGAGTACATAGAACACTGCATGAGAGGAGAGTGTTTGGCTGAGCTCTCTGGCCACAGTCCTCATGGCTCCATGGATGGTCTTCATGGCTAGTGAAATTGTTATTCTTTAGATGCACGTTGGCTGGGAAACACACAAGTTCTCAGGCGACCACACATTACTCCCAATATGGCTGCCACGCAGAGGAGCCCATTGAAGGGAAAGGTCTAGCACCATACATCTTGACTGGAGCCAATATCCCAGTGCCTCTTTGTCACTGTATCCCACATGGCACGTAGCTAGGCTGCAGGCAGTTTTGGGAAAACAGGCTGACTCTTATTTCTATGTCTAGCTTATATGACGCACACCGGACATGCTAGTTTAGACCTGAAATAATTGTTAGATTCAGACCCACTATAGGAACAATTGAGTCAGATCCATCAAATACAGACACTTTAGGCTTTATTTAATTAAGGTCTTTCATTTCCTAGAAAGCAAAGTAGTCACCCAAGCTTTGGGTTGATCACAATAACCTTGTATTCATAAACTGCCTCAACATGAAAAACCTGTGAGCACAGGCCCTCATCCTACCATGAAAGCAGTCAGGCAAACCAGACAGGCAGGTAATGTGTTACCGCATGAGTGTCCTGGCATACACAGACTGTGGTTACTGTTATTTAGCACCTTGGCATTAGAGAAGCACTTGAATCCTTTTTAATCTGTCAGCAGTCACCAACCCACATCTGAAAAAGGCATTTCTTCTGATTTATTAAATGCATGCTAGCAAGCTGCGTCATCACTATTACCAGATACTGGTCAAACCAGTGTCATCCGTGACTATGAACCCATTAACCTCTGTAGTACAGTAAACAATAGAAAGATGACAACTGTATGGAATTGCGATCTAGTCCGTTGCCTGTTTGCAGGAGTGAAGTGCTTAAAAATATATAGTAAACAATGACATATTAAAAAAGCATTCACACAAAAGCACAAAAATGCTTTGAGTATTCAAACAATATTTTACTGATTCAGTGATTAAACATAACAGAGAATCTCCAGCTTCAGTTTCACAGTGAGTAGTGTAATCAGCATTTATTCCACAGTCATCCCCCACTCTCTCCCCCGTTCTCCCTCCCTAAACAGGGCCTCCCAGGTGACATGACGGTCTCTCATATAACCAATCTCTGCAGTTTGCTAATGCTGCAGCTCTCTGTGCATCACATTCACAACAGGCTCTGCAATCACCCACAGCAGGCAGTGGGTGTAGCGGCAAGCACAAACACACCTGAATAAAACAGACGGGGTCCTACAGACAGCTCCAGTTTATGTGTGCATGTATGTGTCTTAGACAGCAGTGATGCAGGCTGATCACTAGCCTTGTTAGGTATCACTGACATCTTCACCTCAGAGCAGGCACACAGCGGAGGTATTGATTAGCAGTAAGCATCAATGTAGATGACCAATAAAGAGCAGGTGAGCCAAAGAGGGTCTGAGGAGTGGGAAGAGGGGAAGTGTGTGTGTGTGTGTACATGGGGCTGCACGAGGAGGCTAGAGAGGGAGGGTGCAGTGCGATGGTGCTGGGTAGCCAAAAACAACAGGGATGATGAGGAAAACAGAAACACGCAGTTTTTATGTAAAAATAAAAAATGAAATATTGCAAAATGTTTGTTACATGCATCATTATCATCTTATATTATAGTCTTATTATATTTTTATTATATCTCTTCATTTGCTGCTTAAAGTGCCTTAGATTTTGTGTTACTTATTTATCTACTTTATATTTCATTTGTATTTTGTGGCATTCATGTGGACGGCAAAGTAAGAATTTCATTGTACAGGGAAACACGTTTCTGTACTGTGCATATGACAATAAACACTTTGATCTGACTTTGACCACACTAAAAATCATTTAGAAATAAAATTGTTGTCAATGTTGACATGAAGAATTGGAGCAAAGATGTCAGAAGAGATGGGTGGATAAACCACGACACAGGTTGTGAGCAGGTGTAATCGTCCTGGCTACCTAATCCAGTGGGAAGCCACATTTTTTTGTATTCCTGATGCTGCTTGTAGCTTTAATATGGCACAGGCTCCTGCATGCTTGTCAGGTAGTGTGCATCAGTTCACAACATCCCTGTCGTATCTGTCACTTAGAATATACTGTAGGCACCCCTGTAATTCAGTGATGATCCTCAGGGTACACATGCTATTCTCCTGCATTGAACATACCTCAAATAGAAAGGCTTTAAAATGTGTGCACAGAATATCAATTTTTGATTTATTTGTATGTGGTAATTTTTGAGTATTTATGATTTTCACATTGTGCTTGTGCATGGTGCTGCCGTGAGTAACGATGCCTTGGAGGACTGAGGAATAAAACCAAGTGCCAAAGTAAACACAAATGCCACCTTTAACATCATATTTATTGTTATTTAGTTACTCAATAAAACATATACAGATATATACAATATGCAGGAAAACAGACGACTGCACTTTACATATTATTAAAAAAAAAGAAAACAAAAATCAGTTTGTAAATTGCCGTCACAGTCCTCCATCTATTGTTTCAGAAATTCAAATTCAACAGAAGCTTTATTTAAAGATTACAAGATTGCCTAACACACAGCAAATTTTCTCTTATTATACATGTGCAATACCAATAGTCTTTTTTTTTTCAATTTCCTTATTAAACAATCTCTTGACCTCAATTTTCAGTTCTCATTGGCTGAATTGTATACAAGTGGTTGGACTCGTACAGTCAATAGCAGAGGTGAGAAGAGAAGAGGATGAGGGAAAGATATTCTCACCAATATAATGAATAGAGAACTACAACAAATCTTAAATCATCAAGAGCAGCAAATGATAAAGGTACAAAAATTCTTTGATAAGGATTGGGAAAAAAATGGATGAGTTACATTCATGCATAATCACCCCTCGTCCCATCTTCCTCTAGTCCTCAGTGTTCAGGCCACTGCTAATCAACCAGTCGACCTCATTATGAGTGTGAGGGAGAACGCGGTGTTCCTGTGTATAAAGACATTGTACATTTGGGTCGGAGGGGTGGGCAGGAGGGGGGTGGGGGGTACACAATCACAGCCAATGACAACTGAATATCTGTTCTTCTGTTTCCTCTGGTTTTGTATTCTCCTCTGTTGACATTTCTTTATTTTTCTTCAACAAAAAAGAAAGAAAAGAAAAGAAAAAAAATATTGATTTGAGGTTTTCCAGATGTGGGTATTGTTGAGCAGAGCCCACATTGTATTGTCCAGCAGTATGTGAGAGAGCATCTGAAAGTGTGACTGCACGTGTCAGAAAATAACATGGTATGTGCATGTGTGTAGGTGTGTGCTTGAGTGAGCGTCTATGTTCATGTTTGCATTTATATGTGTAAATGTCTTTCTCTCCCTGAACAGGCAAGAGTTGCTTTGCAGTTGCCTCATCGACACCTTATCACCATCATCCTCATCAAGAGTATTTGTCTCTGAAACTTTCCTTCTTGTCATTTTGTGATCTTCTTTTCTTCTTCCTGCTAGGCCTGATTTTTGTTCAAGTCAGTGCGGCCACAAATGTCCCAAATCGGTTGGAGATATCAGAGTGGAGAGAGCGCCAGGATGAGACAGGCCCCCCTCGGCCTTTACTGTCACCCAGCTCATCAGTGCAGTGGACAGACAGGCACTGCAGGTGGTTCCCTCCACTGCTCCCACCGCCTCCTCCTCCTCCAGCCCCTGGGGCCCCAGCTCCAACCTTACTCTGGGTCAGGTCAGATTCTGTAGACAAGAACAGAGAGGAAGAGGTTAATTAAGACAGAACAAAAATGAAGAACAACTTCAAGCAGCTGGCATTCTCTGATCAAGATAAACAGATTTAAAATATACACTTTTAATTAAACCAGTGTCATTTTCACATCCCACTCTAAATCTGCACTGTGAAATTAATTCAACACTATTTCATCCCCCCACCCCCCAATCAGTACAACCTGAAAAGGAGGCTGCAAGCAAAGCTTCTCTCTTCACACTCCTCATCCTCTTTTCTGACATACACATGTGAAAACACACACAAACATACACACATTCATTTGCATTTGCTCTCGGTCAGGCGTGCAAATCTGGAGCGTTCCTGCATGACCTCCGGTCAGACGGTCAAAGGGCACTGAGAAATCTGCCCTTTAACCCTGTTTGACCCAATTTACTGGTATAATGACCACGGCGCGGTATCGACCCTGTGTCACCAAAGTGTAGAGCCTCATATTAAATAGTTGCATGCTTCTGGAAAATCCATATACAGGTTGGTTATACATCACATAAAAAGTCTGCTGTGCCACAGAGTTAATGCTGATGCTTGAGTTGCCTGGTTCACATACGGAGAAAAATCACTTTGTGCCGTGTAACGAAAAAAATTAGTCAAGGGGAAGATTGACGAGGACAGGAAGTGCTTGGCTAAACCATACATAAAGCATAACGTCACACTTCATCTGCAAAGATACAGACCGCAGCATACTGAGGGAGAAGAGGGCAGAAATGAGGCAGAAAAGTTTTGAAGACGACGCACAAAATACAACAGGGGAAAGAGAAACACGCCAGGAAAAATGAAAAGCTACGGCTACGTGTTATGACTAGTGTTGCATCGTGTACTTTGGGTTTTGCCTCCAAGCAAGCCCAGAGCACAGAGAAAGTATTTGTTAAGATGTTAGGGATCCCTCGCTAAAATCAATCTGATTATTCTCCCATGGCCTCACCACATAGACCAGAACCAGTGCCATGCTCCATGTGGATGGCTGAAACAGATCAGTGTGCTGCACAAAGACAAAAGCTTTAAAGTACAGGGACAACTAGGTGTCTGAGTGTAGAAACAGGTAGAAAACAGTTCTGACAAGCTGAGTTACATGTGTCAGGGAAGCGAGAGGCTATGACAGACGACACAGTCTGGGCACAGAGGCTGCAGATCACAACGCTCCAGTCAGTCTGCTGCTCACCTAAGAAAAAAGAGAGGCAACGCGCCAACCTCCACATCATCCACAGCCCTGCCTCTCTTTTTAGCTCTTCTTTGTCTGCTACTTAAACGGTTTTTATTTTGTTTTGCTGACTGTTTTCATCTCCCTACCTCTCTGCTTTCACAGTCCTAGAGGCAGGGCCGACACAGTGTTAACAAAACACAGCCAAAGAAAATAGGGCCAAGCCGGGCACCTAGGACAACCAAGAGAGGCAGACATGCAGGCAGTGAGGCAGGTTTCCCCCAGCCTGTCTGGGCTGCAACCACTGGAATGGAAAAGTGGGGGGATCTGGTAAAAGGTCAGGCAGCCAAGCCTCCCGTTGTTCCCTGTTTCGTTTGTCTCTATGACTGTCGGCCTCTGCAAATTTCTCTGTCTCAATCTCCCTCCCAAGGATTACAGACATGGTGTAAGGGGGGGCTGAGGGTATGTGTTTTGGGGGGGGGGGGTATAAGGATTTAGACCATTGTTGGTGGTGGCAGTGACAAGATCTAACATTTGCCAGAGGGTCCAGTCACACACCTCAGCGTGGCGGATCCTCACCCCCTGCCGTTATCACCCCCCATCCACCCACTCACACTCCCTCCTCCCAGCGCAGTGCCCTCCAGCACCCGCCAGCAGCTCATGCTAGCTGGGCACAGCAGGGTCCGCAGCGGCCTGAATAGGCAGCCAAGCGTTCCCCTGGCTCACTGCTGACACACAACAAACTGACAACGCACACAGCTAAAAAAAACACACAACACACCAACCGCTGCCACCGCTGCCATACCTGCACTGGCCCTCAGCTGCTGCTCAACACACATACATACTCCTGCATACATATGGACGTGCATGCACAAACACACATAGTCCAAGCTAGACACATCTCAGCTTCAATGCAAGGACATGAGTGGAAAATACAAAGACAAAGAAATACACACAGCACAGCTCAAATTAGAAACTCACATATACACACGCTAGTATAAAGGTTCATGTTCAGGCATGGGCTCACACATATGTAAAAACAATTTAACAGCCACAAAAAAAGAAATTCAATAGTTAATTTGTCTATCACCTCTTCAAGCTAAAGTGCAAAGTGATCTGATTACTTCAGGCTCCAACACACTTTTCAATTAACAGCCCATGCAAAATTCACCACTTGTAAAATAAGCTAAACACTTGACCACCACAGGATTAAAATGCCACCCAGTAAAACAGGGTAGCCAACAGGGATTCAAGAGGTATGATTTTTGTCATAAAATCAAGATACCACAATTAAATTATGCACACTAGCTATCCATGGCGGTGTTTGGTTCAGAAGTATAAAAGGCAGTGTGAAATTTTAAATCACACGTCTAAATCCCAAATCACCATAGCATTTAACAAGCAGGGAAACCTTTTTTTAATAAGATCCATCTTGTTATGGATGTTCACTGACTAATGTAGAATTCATGTCCACAGTGATATGTCAATAATAGCCTATTCATCTGAGGGGAACAAGTGCTTAGCATCAACAAGCGAAGGGGAAAATACCTAATAAAACGGGAGCAGTAACAGAACAAGCAGCTGCGCCGAGCTACAGACACACCTAAATATCTTTAACCACATTACAGCCAGAAAAGATTACTACAGTGATGTGCTAAGTAAATACTGAATTTAATGTGATGCACTTATATCGCTATATCTCTCACCACAAGTGCCGTACTTTGTTATTTAGTGTCTTGGTGATGGTGCTCACACACACACACACACACACACACACACACACACAGAGAGAGAATCACACAGCAGCGGGGATTCGGAGTTGTCTCACAGTCACAGCCAGAGACGATTTACAGAGATGAGTAGAACTTCGAATGCCATGAAGGCAGGGAGCACAGCGCACAGCTCCGCTTGTCTGGATGACACCGATGTGTCTGGGAGCTGATGGCGTGACACGGGTTTACATGTCATACCACATAAACACAGAGCACAGCCGAGAGACAACAATGGCTGCTCGGAGACTGTATTTTCTACCAGTTTATTAAGTGTTACAACCTGTAATTATTTTTTTCCAATTAATCTTAAAAGAAACTGAACAATTAAAAATAATGACAGTGACCCTTGAAGACTGATATTGTGATTATTTGCACAATAGGTAAAGTGGAAGAGAAGCTAAATGAAACAAATTTCTTTAGTATCAAAGAATCTACAAAACTTCTTTCTGGTTCCTCAGAGCTGTCACATTGATTTCCCAGGCCCCAGAATCCCAGTGTGGCGGGCCTCTGCCCTTTCTATCCCAAGCTCTATACTTCCATGACGACACTTCACCTTTAGCCTCATGCTCCCAAGGGCGCGACCCCATCCTCTCTGAACACAAACCAGCCCAATCAGAATGCTCTGCTTGCTGACAAAAACACCCAAAGGGCTCCGCTTCTATGACAGTGTGTGACATCAGGTCAGATTCCTTTAGCATAACAACTACCACTAGAGCCACATGCGAGGACTCTGTCTTTGTCAGCACAAAACGCCGGCAACAATCCACAGAGAAAAAGTCGGTTTTCAAAAAAGGGGCCCAGGAGGGATATGGGACTGAAAAAACCATCTCCGGCCAGCTGTAATGTAACACCTCACGGTTCTCCTCGTCTCCTCACAGCCTCACAGAAAAGACATCATACGCAGGTCAGCGCCAAAAAGTGATCAAGGGTAATTAAGATGACCAAAAAGATCACATAATATCCTGGGGTCAGGAAAACTATCAATGAAGTAGTGGGGTTGTCCCAGGTATCTGCTGCCTCTGGGAGGGTGGGGGCCATGTAACTATCCCCCAAGCCCTCCGTTCCACCCAACTGCTGCAGTGTGACCTTTCCCTCATAGCAGGGAGGATATCTGGAGGGAATGGGTGGGGGTGGTGGGGCATATTTCTCAGGCAAGGGCACAGGGGTTATTTTGGTTTGAATTTCCTCTCTGTTCTCTGGCCTACAACAAAAAGAAAAAAGAAAAAGAAAAACGTGCCCAGGCAGGCTTTGCCCCCAGCATTCGTTACCTCCTCTCCAGCAACACACCCATTCCCATCCCCTCACACACACACAAGCACACCTCCCCCTCTGGACACAAGAAGTGCTTAGGAAACCAGACACAAATCAGAACATGGGAAGTGATTTAGTGCCTGCTTCATAACTCACAACCATGTCCAAGACCTGTCCAGCATGTCATCCAAGTCGGTGACATATTGATCTAGTTCGCTGTCTCTATTTTGTTTCAGCACAGTGCTGCACGCTTTGTTTTCTGTTTCCACCTTTTTGGAAAAGGTCAACTGCACATGAAAACAGTAGCAATTTTGAGATTAGAAGCACTTGCATGACATAGAGTTTTGTTTTGAATGAAAACGCTGTGTGCGGTTATTTACAAACCCTGCTGCAGGAGCTGAAAAAAATGTAAAAAGTGTAAACAGATTTTTTTAAATCTGTGTAATTAAATACATAATATTTAAATTTGCTTGACTGTTTAGTCTTTTGTTGTGTGTTAAGGGAAAATATTTTAAAGAGGTAAAGACATATAAATAAATATGTTCCAAAAACTCCTACACACAAGAACAAACAATAGCCGTGGAGCATGAAACTGATGGAAAAAATGTTTTTGAATTGAGTTATTCTCCGTTTCATCAATGCAAATGGTAGCTATTACCCAGCCACTCGCCTCATGAGCAAAACTACAGATGTTCTCTGAAAAGAAAAAAAAAACACTTCTCTATCTGTCTTACTTTCTCGTGCACTCTGTCAGCCTCTACTTCTGGCTCCCAGGAGAAACAGCTCCGGTGTC